CAACAATCTATGATATAACTGTCCTGCCTTAAGGATCCTCTTGGAGTATTTCTCTTCCCAACACAACACCCAGTACTGGACTAGGCCTCAGGGTTACAGTGGAAGACCGGCTGCAAGGGAGGGTGGGCTAGGGGTCTGAGGTTCTGGCACCCACTAATCCTGGGCAGTCCCCCTGCCTCGTACCTGGGTCTAAATTAAAGAAGGGAGCAGTACCGAACGTGCGGCTCTTTGTAGTTGGGACCACCTGGGACCTTCCCCGCCTCCCCCTCCAGGCTTTGCGACCTCTGCATCTTGGCCGCACCTGAAGCCCCGTGCGCCCCTTGCACACCCTTCACCAGCTCCTCTTTTGCTTTACATCCTAACCCTGTCTGTGCTTAAGCAAAGATGTCCACATTGAACGAAAAAACCGAGGTTCTAGCCGAGAACTCGTTGCTCCGAGGTCCCGACAAACAGCTGGGCTTCCGACCGAGTGCTAGGCTAAGAGGCTCCCATCATCTGCTGCGTCCCACAATCCGGCAGGCAGCCCGCTTTCCAGCTCTGCTGGACCGTACGGAGGACCGACATCCACTTCGACCGCCCCTTCGGAGAGCCTTAACGTTACCAGGACTAAGCCCGCGCCTGCGCAGATCGCGGAGGGGCGTGGCCTCGGCGGAAGGCACGAGGCGGTGCGGGGCAGTGACGCAATGCGCCCCTAGTGGCGGGAGTGTTCACGCCCTCACTCCGTAGCTTCTGGATTCCGTTTCCACGGTTACGACGGCGCGAGGCAGGGTCCCAGGTAAATCTCCGTAGAGCTGAAACGTGAAACCTGAGGGACTGAAGGCTGCAGGGCTCGGGAGAACTGGGAAGCGGGGCCTGACCCCGGGCTCGCGGCAGGACTGAACCCCCTCGCGTGCCCCTCAGGTCATCTCTGCCCCATGATTCCCCTAGGATGCTGTTCTGTACACAAGCGCCCTTCAACCCCACGAACTGTCCTGGCCTCTCACACCCCTCCCCTTACCCCCCCCCCCAGCTGCTCTCGCTTTTTATCCTCGAGTCACCGACATGCAGCTGTTTGTCCGCTCCCGGGAGCTGCACACTCTTGAAGTGAGCGGCCTGGAGACAGTTGCCCAGATCAAGGTAAAGATAATAGTGTACACTGAGCGTCCCTCACCCATCCATCCCTTGCCTGTCCTCCTGTGGCTTCCTCACAGAAAACACTCTTAACTCTTTCCCTTTCCTCCTTAGGCCCATGTGGCCTCCCTGGAGGGCCTCACCCCCGAAGATAAGGTCGTGCTTCTGGCAGGTTCACCCCTACAGGATGAAGCCACCCTGGGTCAGTGTGGAGTAGAAGCCCTGACGACCCTGGAAGTGGTTGGCCGCATGCTAGAAGGTGAGTGGGGCTTCATAGGGGCCCCAAACTGGCGCTATTCCTTAGACTTACTTATTTGCCTGTCATCGTGTCTAACATTTTAAATTTTAATTTACAATTTCTGGAAGTCCGCTGATTTTGTGTTAAAATTCAGTGTCTGGCTTTGCTTCAAAAATTGGGGAAATCTGTTGACAATGGGCCTGTGTTCCCACATACCAACAATCTGCCATAGCTCAGTAGTGGCTGCTCTCTTTGGAAGGCTCTACAGCTTGCTATAGTCCCCACTCCTCTCTGTCACCCTCAAAACCAATGTCAGTTACCATTTATCATCAGGCTAAACTGCTGTTTATCTTATAGTAAATAAAGGTCAACTCTCTTTTTGTACCTATGTCTGTCGAAAGTGGGAAAACGAAAGATGGATCGAGAGCGTCGCGTNTTTTTCTTAACAGAGGAGTGTTATTTAACCCCGTCTCTGAACCCTCTCTGCTGATTCCAAGCTTTCCAAGAGTCACTGGTCTGAGCTAGGCAGAGAGAGTGGACCGAGCACACTTGGTGGCAGCACTCTGAAATCTGAGGAGACATTCTGGGCCTGGCGCCACTGGTGCCCTAGTCTTGAGCCCTGAGCTGGGCCCCAGGGAGCAGGAATGAGTCAGCTCTTTCCCTAAGGTCAGGGAGCCCGGCAGCAGAACTCTTTGAGCCTTGCCTTCAAGGCTGCGGGGCTGAGCTGACCTAAGGACTATTGATGTAAGAAACATCCAAACCTACAGAGAATTTTTGTTTATTCAGCCAAACTGATAACACATACCTGGGAGCAATTCTCCAGGAGAATCATAATTTTGCAGCTTTTATACTTTTGAGATTTAGGAGGGACAGAAAGGAAGATTACATGAGGGTGGGAGAAAGTAGCGATTGGATTACAGGATAGTTAACAATATGTGCTCTCTTGAGGGTGGTTATGGTTTATTTAAAAGGTGTATTACCCTAGATGCACAGAAACAAGGTACAGCGCTGACTAAAGAAATTATAGGCCTGGGGCATAACTACCCACCAATACCTGCCCAGTTAGGAATTTATGATCAGATCACCCTGTGGGGTTACTTTCCATAGAACCCCATTTTTTGTCCACAGAACAAACGAGTTCACCAGGATTAGGGGGTGGGGGACGGTTAGTGAGGTGAGCCAGGAGTGCAGGGAGGAGCTGGAGCAGGAGAGGGGCCTGATGTAACACAAGAAGCTTGGGTTTATTCAAGAAGGCTGTGTCTAGCACAGGACCAAAGATTGGATTATTGAAAGCTTCCTGAAGGCAGATGATGTGGGGCTCAGGGGAGGAGGTAGGGGTACAGCAGAGAGAAAGGGGGAGAGGCTCAGGCCTGTGGAGGCAGGAAGGGGGAAGCAGAGGAGGCAGAATCAGCAGGAGTTGATGTGAGGGAGTAGGGGACAATGGGCAGAACGGAGCATCAGGCTGAAGAAGTGGGGCCACTGGCCCTGCTCACCACCTTGTCCCTGGGACTTTCCCTCACCCCTAGAAGGCGCCCCAGTTTTAGGGCCCTTCCTACCAAGCTTGCAGCCCTGCTCCCATCCCATTTCCATGCCTTTGGATCAGCTGCCTGGCATCAAGCCCTTCACATCCGAGCCAGTGCTCTCTGCGGACAGCTTCCTTCTCTTCTGCTCTAGCACATTTCCCCTCCTGTTCCGACAGGGGCGCGCGTACACACACCCCTGTGCCTTTGCACAGGCCGCTCTCTGCACCAGGACTGCCCTGTCCTGCACACTTTCTTCTCTCCCTGGTGAACTCCGGGACCCCTGTGCCCAGCTCCAGAGCAGGCCCTTATGGAATGCCTTCTCTGGGCGCATCTACCAGCTCCACTCTCGGCCCCACTTCCTTTCCTGCCTCCTCAAACCAGGAACCAATGTGTGTATGAATCCCTGACACTTGGCGGTGAAAGGGCTTTGAGACTAGGGAACCAAATAGGGCCGGGAGCTGAGTGGACAGGTCACTCGTCTTCCATAGGAATCGGTGTCAAGGGACTCTAGGCCGAGTGGGAGGGGGAACAACGTTGGAAGGAAAGAGGGGTATGGTGCCCGAGGTCTCTGCCGTACCCCAGGTCTGAGGTGTGGTCAGGAACTGCTCACCAGGCCCGCGTCCCTCCTCCTCCCCTAGCCGCAGGGACGCGGGCGGCGACCACGGGCTGAGCTCACTCGCAGCAGCGGTGACGCGCGGGATCCAATCGCGGCCCCCGTGGCCCCGCTTCGCCTCCCCAGAAGCCGGAGCTGGCCAAGCACGCCCGAAGCTGAGTCAGCTCGGGCCGCCCTCCGGACGGACTCCCGACTCTCCAGCCTGAGCTGCTCAAGGGAAAGGCGTCGGCCGGGGCGGGCTCTTCAGATCTGGGTCTCCTGGAGGAGTGGTGAGGGGGCGGGGGG